CCCCTGGCTACGTGAAGTATGACACATCACACTTCTGGATATACAAGGTACCAAGGTCGTGTCAGGCCAACAATTTCATTTTTCGCCGTAAAAATGTCAGTATTAAGCGATATTAGGATATGCTACAATACTGTGTGCAGATATATAGACAGTCCCCAAAGTGTACCCCTGATTGCAATAAGTGTGACACGTCACACTTCGGGATACCTGCCAGGGTCATTAGAGGCCAACCGTTGGCTGATGACATACCTTTTCTAAGCGTAAATTTTAGTTTGTATATTTAACTGAAGTTTAGCCTACCTATAAATTTACAAATTACCTTCAACGGTCACTTCGCTCCCTTCGACAAAAGGGACCTGTGAACTACTGTTCACTGAGGGTTTGTACACCCTCGGAAGCCGACTTTCTCAAGCGCAAGGTGCTATGTGACACTGGGTAGCACTTGTAGTTAATCCATACCAGCGCGGGTATTCTACCCGAACCTCTCTGAAGCTCGTCGCCATGGATAGGAACGATGTAATGGGCCCCTCCATTACATTAGTAGGTAGATTTCTTTACATAAGTAGGTGCATCGGCACACGACTAGCGTGTGCTGAAATTTTGTCATGCCATTGGCTGATATATCTGAAGCCAGACCGATTATTAGACAATTGAACTATGACGTGTATTTGAGTGGCCAGGGCTGTGACCTTGGTCCTAAAATAAAGTCAGAGTTGAGTTTTCCTTACACCTAAGACTCAGTCGTCCTATTGCGAGCTTCCTCAACACTATAGTGTAAGCGAGTAACGGAGTAAATACCTGGCCCGTTACACCTGGTAGCACTTTGTAGTCCTTCCAACGACCAAGTTCGACATGAGCCAAGACCTCGACCACGCTGCCTTTCTCCATCTCACTCGGATCGAGTGGGAAGCTCTCCACCGCCTCGCGGCGGTGTCCGGAGAAGCCGTCGTCACGTCGCTGCTGCGCTCAGCGACGCCCGACGAGCAGCGCGTTGCGGCACAAGAATTCATGGAACGCGAGCTCGCCGATGCGAATCGGCGAGTGTCAACTCCCTCGCGTATCTCCACGAATGACGTCGTGAAGCTAGAGACGTCCACCTACTCCGGTGCCGGAGAAGATCGACTTTCGCTGAATCGCTGGTTTTGAGAGATCGACATCGCCATCGCCTCGAGGTTGATCGAGGCGCCTTCCGCGAAGGTCCATTTCCTCCTCTAGCGGTTGTCTGGGAAAGCCAAGGAATGGGCTCTCGGCAAGTTGGTTGTCGATCCCAACGTCTCTTCCACTCTGGATACCCTCCAGAGTGACCTTCGGCTCGCGTTCGAGCCGCCGCAAGATGAATCCCGAATTCGGGCAGACTTCTTCGCCCTTCGCCAAGGCACGATGACTATGCGCGACTACGTCCAGAAGACACGACACCTCGCGTCGTGCATCGTGTCTAAGCCGATCGATATGGCCTCTCAGGTTCATGTATTCGTGTTCGGTATGCGCGAAGGCATGACGCGCTACTGCCTTTCAAGATCGGACCCCTCCACGCTCGAAGAGGCATTCGCCCTCGCCCTACGCGAGGACTACGTGGTCGCGGCGTCATACGCTTACGCGCTACCTGCTTCAGCTCGGGATTCTGCGCCCGAGCCCATGGACAACGACGCTATCGATGCGACGAGCAATCGTCAGCGTCATGTAGTGCGTCGAAGCGGTGCTCGGAACAATCGTTCTCTCACCTGCTTCCGCTGTCGGAAGGTCGGTCATCGCGCGGCGGAGTGCCGCGCGCCAGCTCCAGTGCTTGCGCATGTCGATGCCGAGCCCGTGCGTTCTGACCAGCCAAAAAACGGTCGGGGTCAGTAGGTGCGGGGCGCCCTACTGGCTGGAATGGAGGTCCGGGTCCCCCGGTGGCAACCCAACCTCCTAGCCCTCCTGTGCTGCATGCACACTTTCATGCCACCACCACGCCGAGCGATTCAAGATTGATCATTGTCAGTCTTCATGTCGCCG